TTAAAGTCTCCGATCTGAAAGATTCTTATACCATCGCGAAGCTCTCCTCGTGCTCGTTCTACCATCAAAATTTTGAGCAAAAATTCTTTTGGGAAGGCCGTCAATTTTCCGATCAAAGTGTGTAGATCTAAGAAATCTTTAGTCAACTCATTTTCTCCATTTTTCCGGCGATTTCATGTGAATCACGCCAAACTGAGGGCACCGTTGAAACCACCTTGTCAAGGCGCACACTCTACCGGTCACATTCGCCGGAGCCGGTGAGCTTTATCTGGCAGCGTATTTTCGGTGAAATTCGGTCGCACAGCTCGCAGCCACGCAGTAGTTTCACTTGCTCTCAGCCTGCAACTGGCCCAGCGAGGTAGCTCAGCGAAGCGGATGGTCCACCAGTGACGCGGCCCAGAGTCCGCGATCCGGCATCGAGGAAGCTCGCCCCACAGTCGAAGCCCAACTAAATTATACGCAGCTCAATAAAGCGAAGCCCAGCAAAAGTAGAGGAGAAAAACGCGGGCCACACCCGGCCCACGAAGCCCAAAACACATACATATTCTGGCCCACGCTCTATCCCGACATCCAGCCTGCAGAAGGCCCGTCCTGGCCCGCGTCTTCACAGGCCTCCAGCCTGCGCTGAACCCATCCAGCCCACAAGCCCGACACCTGGCCAATCAACGCGGCCCAAAGCCTCAGCGTGCGGGCCATTAGGCGCCCAGCCTCCCAGTGAGACCCATTACACGGACAGTTCCCTCCAGCGCGGCCAAGACCGGTCCAGAGGGTCCAAATCGGCCCAACTTGGTCCAACCACATCATTTCATGCCCAAGACCAATTCGGGTGGACTCAAGGTGATCGGGAAGGTAAATTTAGGTAACATTATTGTGATGAAGGTACGACGCTCATTTTAATTATGGACCGGAGGATTTTTTATTGGTGAAAATGGAAAAATTATTTCGTTTATTTGGTTCAATCACGTGGATTATTTGGTTTATTCGTGCAAAAATTATGTGATTTTTTCGTTAAGATATAGATTTATTCGTGGGATTGTTGGGTTTGATCATGGATATATTTAATTGGTCGTGGTAATATTTGATTTATTCATGGAAGATTATTTGATTTGCTCGCGTGGGATTATATGGTTTATTCGTGGATGATATGGTTGATTCGGGGATTTATTTTTGTTCGTGGAGATATATGATTTGTCCGTGGATATATTCGATTTATTCGTGCAAAAGTATTTGATTTATCCGTGGAGTCTATTTGATTTATTGGTTGAGTAATACTGGATTTATTTGTGGATCATTATTTGATTTGGTCGAGGTGATATTATTTGGTTTATTCGTGGAGAATTATGTGATTTATTAGTGGATATTATTTGATTTGGTCGAGGAAATATTATTTGAGTATTCGTGGAGAATTATGTGATTTATTCGTGGATATTATTTGATTTGGTCGAGGTGATATTATTTGGTTTATTTATGGAGAAATTATGATTTATTCGTGGATTTAATTGATTTGTTCGAGGAGACGATGATGTTTATAATTGATCTC